GCGGAGCTGACGCTGTGACACTCACCAAAAGCTGAACATCGGGCAGACAAAACTCGAACATGACAAACTCTGCTGCTGGCCAGAAACCCCATGGTCCTGCTCAGAGGCGGAAAGGTGCTGCTGGGCAGGAAGGAGCAACTTGGCCCACAGGAAGGCTGGATGCTCCCAGCTCCTCCACGCTGCTCCTCCACGGAGGGCCCAGCCCAGGACAGGTCCCCTTAATGGGTCCAAGCCCCTTGCTGTCACACGTCTCCAGGAAGACAGGGGAAAATGAGGAACATGGGGTCAGGTGGCCGTGGGCTCCCCAGGGCCCTCCATGGGGCAGTTAGAGCCAGAGGAGGGAGAGAGGGAGGAACGGGGAGGTGAGAAAAACATGGTAGACATTTTTAAAGACAGAGCAAAAGAGAAAGCAAAGGCTAGAATGCGGGGGATGGGGGGGGTCACCAGGCACCAGGCAAAAGCCCCTCCCCAGCTGCCTGGCCCAGGCTGTGAGCCTCCAGCCAGCCGATTGATCCAAGAGCCTCCACAGCAAATCCACCCCGACATCCTAAGGAGGTGGCGTTGCTGAGGCGGTGGCCGGCGTCCGCAGATGGGCCACCATCTAGTCTACCTAGCCTAGCCCATGACCCCCTCAGCCCCTGAATCTGGGCCTGAAAGGGAGTTTGAGTGCAGGCCCCATGCAAACAGCCACGCCTCCGCACAGGACCAAGGTCACCACCCCGTTGCATCCCCAGGTAAGTCTGCCATCTGGGGGGCTCTGGGATTGCGGAGGGTGTGTGACAAGGGGGCGTCACCAACTGCAGCGACACCAAAGCAGCTCACTGAGACACCCTGCAGGCCTCTCGGCTTTCGGTCCTAACAGCCCAAACCTGATCCCATCCTGACTCCCAGACCGGACCGCCCGCGTGTGGCGGGTGGGAGTATCCACACCTGGCAGGGTGTTTGCAAATGCTACAGTCACAGGGGGACCTCGAGTGCAATGACCTCCTCCCCGAAAACAAACTCGCCTTGAGCTCCTCCCAAGAAGACCACCCCCGCCCCCTGCCAACAGTCCTCGGGGATCTGGCTGCCAGTGCCTGCCATGCTGAATGCTGAGCCCACATCGAGAGGGGCTTTGAAAGCAGATTCGGTTACACACGCGACGAGGCTGAGAGCTGTTTTTCTTTCCCGCTCCCTTTTCTCGGCAGCCAGTTTTCGCCCGGCCGGCCAGGTCACTCACAGGGCAGGCTGTTTCCAAGGCCCAGCGTCTTCCGTCGACAGGACATGGCTGCCACCTCTAACACGAAACCTGCCCGGGGGTGGGTCGAAGATGGAGCTGGTGGGTGTGGGGCGATGAGCTCTCGCCCCACCCCAGGGACCCTCAGAGGGCTGCAGGCATCTTGGATGAAGGAACACCCACAGAGCAGGCGCCAGCAGGAGGGCGTTGCCACAGAGCAACACCCAAGAGGCAAGGAGCTGGGTTCAAATGCCACCCCTGCCCCTGCCCGGCTGTGGCCCTGGGGCAGGTCACCTCTGTCCTGGCCTTGGTTTCCTCATTCATGAAACAAACATGAGAATCACCCACCTCCAGAAGCTTTCAAATGTCAGCTTGCTGAGCTGAACCAGGAACAGGAACGCTCCAGAAGCCCCAGGCTGCAGTCGGGCAGAGAAGGGACATTGCCGACCTGTCCTTGCCTCTGAAGCCCGACCCAGAAGTGGCACCAGCCAAAGGGGAAGTGGGCCTGGGCTGGCCTTGGCTGTTGAGCTCAAGGTTCCTATAGAAGGGAGCACATGCTTTGTCCGAAATGAATCCTTACACCCTGAGGTGCCCCCAGGCTCCCCAGCCTCACCCAGCTGGGCCCACCCCCAAAGCACCCACCTTCCAGACCCCTCACCCTGATGTGCACTGCAGTCCTTGGCCTTTGGGCGAATGGAGCCCCCTGCATTGGAGAAGCCCCGGAATGCTGCCCTGTGGATCCCCAAGGGGTGGCGAGGTCCTGAGGGTGCTGTGGGCCTGGTGGGGTCAGCCGATGCCCCGGGCCCCACAGCCCTCCAGGGTGGATCCTGGGAGAGGGGCCTTGCAGGAGGCAGGGAGGGGCATGAACCAGCTTTCCCCCACTCTGGGGCCCAGGGGCATGAGCTTTACCTGAAATAACTGCTGAGGACACAGACCTCCAGCTGGCAATGATCACCCTGCTGAAAGCAGGCCCTCCCCTCCTCTAACATCCTGTCCCCCCACCCTACCACAGGGAGCAGCACAAGCCCTCCCACCCCCAGGCCTCAGCACAGTCCCTAGGCTCCTTCCCTGCCCCGGAGTCTCTGGGGCCTTTCCCCACAGCTTCCCACGGCGTCTGCACTTGCAGGGAGGGGCAAGAGCCAAGAACCCAGGACTAGGGGTTGAGGGGGTCATCCCAGCCGCATTCCTCAGGCAACCCTGACAGCCCCCTTCTAAGGGGCACCCTCCCCCTGGCTGGGCAGAAGGTGGCCTTCCCGGAGCTCAAAGCCCCAAGTGGAACCATCCCCAGGGCCCAAAAGGCAGAGCATCCACCACCTGCAGGCAGCGTGCAAGGAGGTGACCTCACCTGCCAGGGCCAATCCTTGAGGGGGGCCCTGCCTGGGGTGTTCCTGGGACAGGGCTCTCCTTGGGGCCATTCCCAGGCTGGGACCACCGGCCCTGGGGAGGGCATCCTGTACCCAGGACTCCACCCACAGGGCCGAATCAGAGGTGTCTCCGGGGAGCTGGTCCAGAGGCCTGACGCTCCTTATACTCCTGAACAATGAGACTGTTTTCTTTTCCTTGATAAGTAAGTCTGAGTTAAGGGTTCCCAAGCTGGGGGTTGGGGCTGGGGGGGATTCGAGGGCTGCTAGGAAATTGACAGCAGGAAATGAAACCAGAGCCTGAGGTTAGAGCCTTACCTCCCTAACCCCAACCCCAACACCCACCCCCTACCCCCAACCCCAACACCCTACCCCTCTCCCACCCCAGCCCCAGCCCCCACCCCCAACTCCCAACCCCAAACCCCAACTCCCAACCCCACCCCTCTCCCGCCCCAGCCTCCAACCCCCAACTTCCACCCCTCTCGGTACCCCAGCCCCCAGCTCCTACCCCCGACACCCACCCCCTCCAGCCCCCACCCCCTAACACCCACCCCTCTCCCACCCCAGCCCCACCCCCAGCCACTCAGGCCCCCAGAAGCCCCTCACAGCTCAGGACTCACGAACTAAACTCTGCATGGTCACCAAGGGTTAACATACCCACCCTCTTATCTCAAGGAATGGGGTCGCCACCCTAGAGATGTTCCTCACAGGCCAGCCCTGGCAGGTCCCTGGGTCCCAATGAACCAGGGAAGCCTTCAGGAGAGAGGGGCATCCGAGGCAGGGCCAGAAACTTGTTCCTGGGCTTTATCACTCACCCCAGCTGCCCAGCTCTCCGGGCCCTGGGCACACAGCTCAGAGCCTCCGCCCCCACACTGAAACCCTTAACCCTTTTCTGCTGGCCATCATTAGCACAATGCCTGCTGCCATGCCCATCCCAGGACAGATGCCCTTGGTACCCAGTACCACTAATGCCTCCCCAAAGACACTGTGAGAGGCAGGCACTATCATCACCCCCTTCTTACAGATGAAGACAGGCACAGAGAGGGAAGCAGTTCACCCAAGGCCACACAGCCTAGAGAAGGAATGCTGAGTCCCACAGTTCTGACTGTACCCACTCGATGCCCTGACCCACTGTTCCAGAAGCTGTTCTCCTGGCTTAGCTTCTGCTGTGACAAGACAGGGCACAAAGCCATCTGACCACACAGCACAATGAGGCACCAGGAAGGGACCTGCAAGACGGGCCTTGAAGGATGTGTAGGAGTTGGCAAGTAAAGAAGAGGGCAAAGGGCCCCTGCAGGAAGTAGCACGGGCACGGGGACGGGGAGAAGAAGGCTTGCAGCTGGGCGGAGTACAGGGGTGCCTGGGTCTGGCAGGCTGGGTCACTGGCTCAGGGCCGCATCCTTCCTGAGGGGCCCAGTGCACTGGGGTGAGAGCTGCACGGAGAATGACCATGGGGGTGGAGGGGGTTGACGACAACCTGGCTTCTGAGGTTTGAGCTGAGACTCCTGTCTTTTTGGCTCAAGTAGAAACAGATCTGTGAAAGGGTCCAGACACCTATCATAGACAACCCCCATGGATATGTGCCCACACCACCGGCCACCGTGGAGGCAGCAGAATCCATGTGGAAAACACGCCACCAGCGGCTCCTGCTGCTGCTGCAGAGCAGGTGAGCTGTGATCCACCTAGCAGGGAGGCGGTCGCACGCTTGCGGAGGCTGCTCCCGAGTAGCCAGAACAGCCCTGTACCGCCCTGAGTGAGGTGCAGCCTTGGAGAAGCCTTGAGGAGTAAATGTTCCCTTCTCCGCCCTCCTGGAGAGGCCAGGGTTTAATACAAATGTCCATTGTAAATAGATACTTATTAACTCAAAAAGCAACCAATCACCATCACTCAGAGACTCCCTTCTTTGTTTTAATTGGCTTGTTAAACTGCTAGCTGTGTGACCTCGGGCAGGGTTAGCTCACCTCTCTGTGCTGTTTCTCCATTTGTATATAGAAATGACAGCGTGATCTATTGGGTAAGATCGATGTGGGAACTACGTGGAAAACGTCGGGACAAAACACAGCACCTGGCAACACTGGTGTTTCCTGTTCACCAGCTTTACAGATTTTATTACAAAAAGCACGAGTTCCCCCCCCCAAACCCCCTCCCGAGTCCCCCCCCCCGTCCCCCCAGCGCCCCCCCCGAGTCCCCCCCAGTTCGCCTGCAACACCCCAGGTTTGCAGTGGGTTCTTTTCTTTTCTCTAGACCTTTCTTGGGTTAGGGGTGGCTCAGCCCCAGCAAGTCACAAGTGTCCCTTTTTACTTCTCTTCATTCTCGGTGCTCATGAAAAACTTCCTAACCCAGGCTTTGAGCTGAGGGTTCAGAGCTAGGTCAACCAGCTTTGCTGCGCTAGAGCCCTCTGTAGCCGGTGGACTGAGCCTCACCCCCCTCCCGCCAGCACCACCACCGCCCGGCACCTCTCCCCATCCTCACGGAGCACACTGCCATCCACAAAGTCTGCAGGGGTGAGGGCAAAGAGAGACCCTTATGGATACCCTGAGTGCCGGGAGAGCAGAAGCAAGGGAGTCCACACAGGGCAGCCAGCACCTCCCAGGTTCCTGAGAAGAGGAAAGGAGGGAGCACCTAGTGGGAAGCGGGCGGGGAGGAGGCGGGAGCTGGGAAGGGGTGATGGAAGGTCGCCTAGCTCCCTATCCCAGTGGTACCCACCCCCCACCCCAGCCGGAGAGACGCACTCTCTCCTGCAGAGGTCTGAGCCCACTGCCGAACCATCCATGGGGTCCAAGGCCCCTACAGACCAGGCGCAGAGACCCTGGGCTCTTCCACAGGCACCCTGAATCCTTATCTGTTGCAGGGAAGAGGAAGTCCCAGAGAGAAGGGAGCGGGTGGGCACCCCAGCTCTCCCCAGACCCCAGTGGTATCCGAGACACCCACCTCGAGGGCACAACACTGCAGTTTTCCTTCTTTCCCAGGTCTTCAGCCTCCACTGAGGAGAGAACCCAGCGTCCTCCCCTCTGCCCCTGACTGACAGGAGCCGAGGGCACCGTTCTGCAACGAAAAACTTTCACGCAGTGTTCACGCCTGTAATCCCAGCACTTTGGGAGGCTGAGGTGGGCAGATCACGAGGTCACGGGTTTGAGACCAGCCCTGCCAACATGGTGAAACCCTGTCTCTCTAAAAATACAAAATTAACCGGGTGTGGGGGTGGGAGCCTGTAATCTCAGCTACTCGAGAGGCTGAGGCAGGAGAATCGCTTGAACCTGGGAGGCGGTGAGCTGAGATCGCGCCACTGCACTGCAGCCTCGGCGACCGAGCGAAACTCTGTCTCAAAAAAGAAAGAAAAAAAAAAGAAAAACTTTCATGGCCCAAGCACCTCGGTCAAGCTCTGTCCACCCGCGGTGCCCCGAGCCCGCCGTTCCGGTTCCGCCATGTGCCGGACTGCTCCGCCGCAGCGACGGCTCCATTCAGTCCTCACCGGGAGCGAGGGCGGGGCTCGGTTCCTGACCTGAGTCGCTTCCGACCCGCCCGCATTTCTGGCACCTGCAGGAAACTCTCCCCGAGTCCCCAGAGCCGCCTGAGAGTCCCACTGGGTGGGGGCTTCGAACCTGGCATCCAGATCAGGCCTTCGAGGCTGGACCCTGCCCGCCTCCATTGCCACCCCTAGTCCCCCGGGTCCGCTTGCTCAGAAACCGAGGAAATCGCGCGGCTCCAGCCAGGGCACCCTGTCCCAGTCCAGCGACCCGAGCTGAGCCGTCCCTACGGGAGCCAGGTCCCTGCACCGAGCCCTCGGCGAGGGCGCGCACCAAGGGGGCCCCCGGGGCTCCGCGTCCGTGGGTGAGCGGCGCGGGGGTCACCGACTCCACCGCGAGGACGCGGAGCCTGTCTCTAGACCAGCCTTGAGCGGGGGCCCCGGGCGAAGAGGGCTCGCGCCCCACACGGAGTTAGAGGAGTCTCTGCGCCCGACTCGCGGCCTGTGGCCGGGCACTGGCCGCCCCTTGTCATGAGTCCCCGTCGCCCCATCCCCTGGAGCTGGGTCCCGCCCGGGTCACGTGGCTCTGCTGCCGGAGCCCCAGCTCCGACCCTGCGGGAAGGAGGGGCGGGCGCGGGCGCGGGAAGGGGCGGTGCGGCGGGGCGCGCCGGGGCGGCGCGGTGGGGGCTGCGGAGCCTCCCCGGCTCTGGCTCCCCAGTCCTTCCGCCCGCCGGTCGCCGACCACCGCCACCGTCGCGCCCTGCCGCCCGCCCTGCCCGCTGGTGAGTGCTCCAGCCCTGGCCGCAGCCGCGCGCCCTCCCCACCCGGCCCCGCCTGGCGCGGGGGAGTCCGGCTCCCAAGGCCCTGCGTCCCGCCGCGACGCCCTGACCGTCCTTCTCGCCCCCCACCGAGCCCACCCCGGGGACCCCGAAACCCGGGCAGGGAGGAGGTGGGCTCGGCTTCGTGGCTGCCCCGGGATGACGCGCTGGCCGCTCCCATCCCCGCCGTTCCTTTCCCTCCGGTTCGGGGACCTGCCCGGGGAACGGCCAGAGCTGGGGAGTGGGAAGCGCCGCCCGAGCGGCGGCACCTGCCGGGCACAAGCGCGGCGGAGGGCGCACGGCTCGGAGACCTCCACACTCCTCTGCCCCGCAGGTCAGGACCGCGCCCGGGAGGATGTACCGGAGCCTGGCGCTGGCCGCGAGCCCCAGCCAGGCCGCCTACGCCGACTCGGGCTCCTTCCTGCACGCTCCGGGCACCGGCTCCTCGATGTTCGTGTCGCCGGCGCGCGTCCCCTCCACGCTGTCCTACCTGCCCCGGTGCGAGCCGGGCCCACAGCCCCCAGAGCTCGCCGCGCGCCCCTGCTGGGCGCAACCCGCCCCCTCGGATTCGTCGGCCTTCGGCCCCGGCAGCCCTCACCCGCCCGGGGCCACCGCCTTCTCGTTCCCGCACAGCACCCAGGGACCCGGCAGCGGCAGCAACGCCCGGGGCGGGGACCGCGGCGCCTACCAAGGCGCGCTGCTGCCTCGGGAACAGTTCGCGGCCCCGCTTGGGCGGCCCATGGGCACCTCGTATTCCACCACCTACCCGGCCTACGTGAGCCCCGACGTGGCCCCCTCCTGGACCGCCGGGCCTTTCGATGGCAGCGTCCTGCACAGCCTACAGGGCCGCCCGGCCGGTCTCCCAGTCCGCAGGCCCACCTTGGGTGAGTACGGGGCTCCACAGACTCGGGGCCCGGGCTGGCCGAATCCGGGTGCAAACCCGCACCCTGCGAAACGCTTCCTCCTCCCCCCTTCCCACAGCCCAAGCCTCCCCGACAGGTGCCACCGCAGTACCCAGGGTAAACACCCCGCACGAGAAACTCCGTCCGGGATTCCGTGTGTTCACCTGTTCACGGGAAAGAACATGCGTTTCCGCGCGGCGTTCCAGACCGCGGGTGCGGGGCCGCGAAAGCCTTCATCGCCGCTTTTTTGTTTTGTTTTGTTTTTGAAAAGTTTTGGAAACTATTTTTATAAAGTCCGAAATGCCGGCTTATTGAAGTGGCCACATTCGCCTCGGTTCTAGGAGGTTTACCTATTTTAATTGGAGACCTGGTTTCAATCGTTCCCTGAGTAACAGTTTGGAGAATCGGATTCTAGGCCTGCAAAGGCCGCAGCTCTTCCCGGGTGCAGCGCAGGCACTTTCCCGCGGAGGCGGCGCCTCTGAGCTCCCCGGGGTCCATCCCGCCCCTCCGGGACCGTGGAGGCCTCACACCCAGCTCCGGAGCCGCCTTTCGGACCCTCCCGGCCCCTTGGCGCAGGAAGCGGACACAGCCGCAGCCGCAGAACCCCGGCCCCGGCCTCCCGGGGCAGCCCCTTGGCTGGCGCCCACCCCCGGCGGGGTGATGATGGATCCCTGCCCCACCCCCACTCGGCGCCCAGGCCTCCCTCGCGCCGGCGCCTGGCGGGGTCTGGAGGGGACCAGGAAGACCTCCACCCCCGCCACAGTGTGAGAAACCGGTCCCAGGGGGCTACGAGACGGAGCTGTCCCTCTAAAGGACACTGGTTGCCACCACAGCAAAGCTGACAGAGGGCGGTCTCCACCTCCCAACCCACCTCCTCCACCCTCCCAGCCCCCACCCCTGCCATGGACCCGCTTTGCAGAAAAGGAGGCCAGCAGGGTTAGCTGTCCCAGCAGAGCCCAAGGGAGCCCAAGAGGGGCTGCCAGATAAAACCCCTTCGTCGGCCGGCCGGGCACGGTGGCTAACGCCTGTAATCCCAGAACTTTGGGAGGTCGAGGTGGGCGGATCACGAGGTCAAGAGATCGAGACCATCCTGTCCAACATGGTGAAACCCCATCTCTACTAAAAATACAAAAAAAAAGAAAAAGAAACTTAAGCCGGGCCTGGTGGCACGTGCCTGTAGTCCCAGCTACTCCAGAGGCTGAGGTGGAAGAATCGCTTGAACCCAGGAGGCGGAGGTTGCAGTGAGCCAAGACTGCGCCACTGCACTCCAGCCTGGTGACAAAGCAAGATTCTGTCTCAAACAAAACAAAAACCCTTCATCTCCTCCCCCGCCAGTGTAGACACCCTGCTTTCCCCACAGGTCCAACAAGCAGAGGCCAGTGCTGGATCCTGGTCTGGGAGGGGTCCCAGGCGTCTGTCTTCAGGCTGTGTTTATTAACACCAGTTTTGTAAAAGCAACTCTAACAAATTTTATCATACGTAAATTTAAAATTTTAAATAAGATTAAGTAAATAAATAAGCAAGTAATTTTAAGATAAATTTAAAGCACAAAATGTGTGCTTTAAATTTATTCATCTGACGAAAGCGGCCAGGCTTCTGTGGAGGGGAGGGCACCGGCTGGGAGCTGGGAGGCTCCTGGTGAGGGGGAGGGGAGGGCCCACCAGCTGCCTGTCCCCTCAGTGTCTGACTTCTTGGAGGAGTTTCCCGGGTGAGGGTCGTGAGTGTGTCAACTGCGGGGCCCTGTCCACACCCCTGTGGCGCCGGGACGGCACCGGCCACTACCTGTGCAATGCCTGCGGCCTCTACCACAAATGACGGCGTCAACCGGCCGCTCGTCAGGCCCCAGAAGCGCCTGGTGAGTTCGGGCTGGGGTGGGGGGCGCTGGGCGAAGTGCTCACTCCAGGGGACGTCTTCGATTTACCCAGGTGATGCCAGAACCTCTGGGTAGGGGCAGGGGGTGTGCCAAAAACAGCCTGAATGACCACCCCGCTGGGTCTCGGGGCAGGGCAGGGATCCCAGTGGGGATGCCAGGGCCACTAGCTCATAGCACCCAGCCCTGGGAGAGCTCTGGGGGCCAGGCTCGAGAGCAGTGGTGCCAGCCGGGCTCTGCTCAGGGCTGGGTCCGGGAAGGGCTGCTGCAGGGAGCCAGGAGCTCAGCCCCACAAGTCGGTGTGGCTGACTGTGGTCTCCAAGGCCTCAAGGTGACCCTACCTGGGATGAGGCTCAAGGGAAGGTGGCTGCTGGATACTTTTGAGTCTTTGGGTCCGCAGCCCCCTGGGGGAGCATTTTCAACCCATACTCAGGTACCGCACGGTCACCAGGTTTATGCCTGTTCCCTGCCTCATGAGCAAAAACTTGTTTCACTTTTGGTTCTTCCTGGCTTCTGGCTGAGGAGGGAGTGGGGGACTCTGGAGTCGGACTTCTGCCCCAGGGAGGGCACCGTCCCCAGAGGCTGGGAGAGGCTGAAAGCTACTTTGTTTCCCAGGCAAACCCTCACTTTCAAGTAATTTTACAAATAAGGATTGGGGTGTTGACATGTTTGCAAGTTATGGAAAGTTGAGGGGCCACCATGGCCCCGGGCTGGAAGGCTGGGCAAGGGTATGTTCCTGAGCGCTAAGCCGTCCTCTGTGGGTGGTGTGGACTCCGTGTGGGGTGAAGCCCTCCTTGGCTGGTGGTGTGGACTCTGTGTGGGGTGAAGCCCTCCTCTGTGGGTGATGTGGACTCTGTGTGGGGTGAAGCCCTCCTTGGCTGGTGGTGTGGGCTCCGTGTGGGGTGAAGCCCTCCTTGGCTGGTGGTGTGGACTCTGTGTGGGGTGAAGCCCTCCTCTGTGGGTGGTGTGGGCTCCGTGTGGGGTGAAACCCTACTGGGCTGGTGGTGTGGACTCTGTGTGGGGTGAAGCCCTCCTTGGCTGGTGGTGTGGACTCTGTGTGGGGTGAAGCCCTCCTTGGCTGGTGGTGTGGACTCCGTGTGGGGTGAAGCCCTCCTCTTCGGGTGGTGTGGGCTCCGTGTGGGGTGAAACCCTCCTGGGCTGGTGGTGTGGACTCTGTGTGGGTGAAGCCCTCCTTGGCTGGTGGTGTGGACTCTGTGTGGGGTGAAGCCCTCCTGTGTGGGTGGTGTGGGCTCCGTGTGGGGTGAAGCCCTCCTCTGCGGGTGGTGTGGGCTCCGTGTGGGGTGAAACCCTCCTGGGCTGGTGATGTGGACTCCGTGTGGGGTGAAGCCCTCCTCTGTGGGTGGTGTGGACTCTGTGTGGGGTGAAGCCCTCCTCTGTGGGTGGTGTGGGCTCCATGTGGGGTGAAACCCTCCTGGGCTGGTGGTGTGGACTCCGTGTGGGGTGAAGCCCTCCTCTGCGGGTGGTGTGGACTCCGTGTGGGGTGAAGCCCTCCTTGACTGGTGGTGTGGACTCCGTGTGGGGTGAAGCCCTCCTTGGCTGGTGGTGTGGACTCTGTGTGGGGTGAAGCCTTCCTTGGCTGGTGGTGTGGACTCCGTGTGGGGTGAAGCCCTCCTTGGTTGGTGGTGTGGACTCTGTGTGGGGTGAAGCCCTCCTCTGTGGGTGGTGTGGACTCCGTGTGGGGTGAAGCCCTCCTCTGTGGGTGGTGTGGACTCTGTGTGGGGTGAAGCCCTCCTCTGTGGGTGGTGTGGACTCTGTGTGGGGTGAAGCCCTCCTCTGCGGATGGGTGGGGCTCCGTGTGGGGTGAAGCCCTCCTCTGCGGGTGGTGTGGACTCCGTGTGGGGTGAAGCCCTCCTTGGCTGGTGGTGTGGACTCTATGTGGGGTGAAGCCCTCCTTGGCTGGTGGTGTGGACTCTATGTGGGGTGAAGCCCTCCTTGGCTGGTGGTGTGGACTCCGTGTGGGGTGAAGCCCTCCTTGGCTGGTGGTGTGGACTCCGTGTGGGGTGAAGCCCTCCTTGGCTGGTGGTGTGGATTCTATGTGGGGTGAAGCCCTCCTTGACTGGTGGTGTGGACTCCATATGGGGTGAAGCCCTCCTCGGCTGGTGGTGTGGACTCCGTGTGGGGTGAAGCCCTCCTGGGGTGGTGGTGTAGACTCTGTGGGGTGAAGCCCTCCTCTGCGGGTGATATGGACTCGTGTGGGGTACATGGGCTGATTCGGGCAGTCACCCTGGCTAGAGGTTGGCCCTCCAGCCACTGTCCTGTGGGGCTGCTGTTCTAGATGTCTCTGGATTTGCATCCTGCACGGAGTAGCTCTGTACAGCTCCGGCTACAGGCTTAGGGAGAAAACCTGGGGCCTTGGGCTATGGGGAACCAGGACCTGAGCATGGGAGGTCCCAGCAGAGCAGGTGGGAAGGAGGACCGCAGGCTGGGGGCAGCCGTCACTTCTCTTCCTTCGAGCTGGTCTGTGGGCCCAGCCTTCTCTCATGCCCGCCTCTCATGCCCGCCCCTCAGAGGGAAGGCTCCTGGAAGCCCATCTCCCCGGGCCTTTTCGCCCTGTGACTATGCCTGTGGTCCCAGGTGCACTCATCCAGCCTGACATCCATGTGGCCTTCACTGGGGGGGAAACAGAAGTTGAGAGGGTTTGGGGCCAGGCACAGTGCCTCACACCTATAGTCCCAGAACTTTGGAAGGCTGAGGCAGGAGGATTGCTTCAGCTCAGGAGTTAACACCAGCCTGGGCAACATAGCAAGAATCCATCTCTACCAAAAATTTTTTAAAAATAGATTAGCCAGACATGGTGACACACAGCTGTAGTCCCAGCCACCCAGGAGGCTGAGGCAGGAGGATCACTTGAGTCCCAGCGAGCAAGGGTAGGGTGAGCTGTGATCACACCACTGCACTCCAGCCCGGGCAGTGGAGGGAGACCTTGTCTCCAAAAGTAAATAAATCTGTCCTGTGCAATAGCTCATGCCTGTAATCCCAGCACTTTGGGAGGCTGAGGCAGGAGGATCACTTGAGCCCAGGAGTTTTAGACCAGTTTGGACAACATAGGGGGACCAAGTCTTTACAAAAATTAGCCAGTCAAGATGGCACACACCCGTGGTCCCAGCTACCTGAGAAGCTGAGGCAGGAGGATCTTTTGCACCAAGAGGTAGAGGCTCTACTGAGCCAGATCGCACCACTGCACTTCAGCCTGGGCAATGGAGCAAGACTCCATCAAAAAAAAAAAAAAATGAAATTAACCTCTTCTCTTCCATTTCATTACATTTTAAATTAAATTAAATTAATTTTTTTAAAAAAGACAAGTGGTAGGGAGCTCAGCCCAGCTTCTGTGAGACCACAGCCCAGATCTCCCTTCCCCACCCTCGCCCATGTAAAAGGCTGCCCCCTCCTCTGGCTGTGTCCTCTCTCCCACTGCCAGGCCCCGAACCGGGCACCGGGACACACTGGTGTCAGGAGGAGGTGCTGGGAGGGAGCCGTCCTGCTGCCCTGCCCTGCCCTGCCCTGCCCTGGGTCTCCAGCCGGGCAATGCCTGTGTCCAGCTGGAACCCAGACTCCTGGGCTGTGGTATCTCGTGGGCGGCTTTCCAGCTCCCTGAGCCTCTGTCCCCTCATCTTCGGAGTGGGGAGAGGAACTTAGGGCCGTCCCACACCTTGCTGTTAAGATTGTCTTAGACGGCTGGTGTGTGTTTGGGCCTTGGCTCTGAAGACTGACCGATGGGGACCTTTAGTGTGATAAAGCCTCCCTTCCCTGGTCTGGGGGATATGGGGTGGGCTTTAAGATGCCTTGTGGGGGAGGATCCTGTTTACTGTCCATCTTGCCAAGACCAGAGGTCTCGGAGGGTAGGAACCATCCGGTGCCACCGTGCCCTCTCCCCATGGTCTGGCTCTGTGAATGGACACTGCTGGGAGCACCTGGGCCCCAAGCAACCCACCCCCAAGAACACTGGAGCCCAGGCTGAAGCCTAGGGCCCGGCAGCCAAGGTCAGTGGGGACGGCATACCCCAGCCCAGGGCAACTTCTGACACCAGCTCCAGGAAGCAGCCAGTGTCACACTGGGCTGAGCGTCTTTCCCTTGCTGCTGAGCAAACCCGGCCCTTACCTGGAATCGGGCACCTGACACCCACCCAGCCCCAGGGTTTCCTCCTTCGAGCCCCTCACAGAACCACAACCCCAAGTCAGTTTGCCTTCAGCCAGCAAGGGACATGGGAAAGTATCAGTGTTTACCACATCTCCCTCCCAATCGGGAACCCGTTTGAATTCAGAGACATTCCAGCCACTCGCTGGTACCCAAGGGTCAGACTCTGCAGCGCAGCAGCCTCTGGTTGTCCACGGCCTGGTCTTCCATCTCAGAGGAGGCTGCTGCACTGAGGGTCGCTGTGACCTGCCACCTTCACGCCCATGTTTCCCGGCTTCATCCCTCCCAGCCAGGCTCAGAGCTCCTTCCCTTTCCTGTGCTCCTTGAATTTCCGCCAGCACCCCGGGCCCTCCCCTGCCTCATTTATTTGGATGTCTCAGATGCACGCAGAGCCTGGTGCTTAGAGCGGCTCTGCTGTGGGCAAGCAGACTTTGAAGTTTGACTTCTTTTGAAAAGAACCGACAAAAAAGAAAAACAAAATGCAGCCAGGGAGAGAGGCCTGCGCGGGAAGGCTGGAGATGGGAGAGACCTGGGGGAGAGGCTGGAGAGGGGAGAGACCTGGGGGAGAGGCTGGAGAGGGGAGAGACCTGGGGGAGAGGCTGGAGAGGGGAGAGACCTGGAGGGGGGACGCCAGAGAGGGGAGAGACCTGGTGGGGAGGCTAGAGATGGGAGAGACCTGGGGGAGAGGCTGGAGAGGGGAGAGACCTGGAGGGGGGACGCCAGAGAAGGGAGAGACCTGAGGGGAAGCTGGAGAGGGGAGAGACCTGAAGGGGAGGCTGGAGAGGGGAGAGACCTGGAGGGGGGATGCCAGAGAGGGGAGAGACCTGGGGGGGAGGCTGGAGAGGGTAGAGACCTGGAGGGGAATGCCAGAGAGGGGAGAGGCCTGGGGGGAGGCCGGAGAGGGGAGAGGCCTGGGGGAACGCCAGAGAGAGGAGAGGCCTGGGGACGGTAGAGGCCTGGGGTGGGGAAGAGGCCTGGGGAGGGGAGAGGCCTGGGGCTGGGGAGAGGTGTTGAGGGGAGAAGCCTGGGGTGGGAGAAAAGCCTGAGGGGCGGGGTGCTGAGCGCATGTCCCACAGTGAGAAAGGACAGATGGAGGCATGGTCATGGCACAGCGCCCGCGAGCTGCTAGGAGCATGTCCCCGAAGTGTCTGGCCAAGGAGCAGTTCTGTCCACCCTAGGCCTCCTCAGTGTCCTCCGGTCCCGCAGCTCCTCTGAGCCTCAGTCTCCCACCCATACAACCTCGACCTGGTGAAGATTTAGGAAAAGGTGGGTGAGGACGGGGAAGTCCGTGTTTTCCCTTTTCCTCAATTTGATAAAAATGAAGCAGCTCACTGTGAAGAGACTCAAGGTGGGTTCCAGGCATTTCTGTGGCACTCGCATGGGTGCGGGTTGATGGGCATGCCCACTGCGGGGGGTCCAGCCCACACACCTGCATGGGCACACCTTGTTTCTCTCTGTACCCCGTGTCTCAGACGCTGCTTCATCATGGGCGTGTGGAGTGTGCATATGTATGTACACCCCATCTGTGTGTGCTAAGGGGCGATGGCTGGTCCCAGACCTGAGGGTCCCTCTGCTTCAGGGAAGAGGACCGGCCTTGGGCTACGGATGCCCCTCAGTGAAGGCAGGGACTGCTGTGGGCCACGAGGAGGGGGTCAGCACGTAAACTACAGAGCACTTGAAATTCCGTGTGGTTTCAGATAAACACAGACATTTCAGCACTCATGTCCCAAATACCGCAGGAGACAAAGGAGCCGTCACTGAGCAGAGACTCAAGGTTTATCTGCACATCCAGGGTCCATAGATCTGGCAGCCCTGGGGAGACCTCTTTCCACTTAAGGCAGATCAACGGCTGGGTGGGTGTCCGAGAGGCAGGGAGCCACAGCTCCTGGCACCCAACAGGCATAGAAGAGAGGGAGGGGCTGGGCCAGACTCAAATCCTGTCCAGTAACAGCAGCTGCTTCTAGATCCATCAGGGTGTGCATCCCAGGGAGAGACATCAGCTGGGGACCCCAGGGGACCCCAGCTGCTCCTGCAGGAAGGGTGCCTCCATCCAGTCGGGCCTGGTACCATCTCCCTTCCAGCTCTGCCGGAGCCTGGGCTGGGCCCTCCAGCGTGAGCACAAATCTCACCCCCAACGCCCCCCCCCCGGAGACCACTGGAGACCCTGAGTGGCTGGACGCTATGGCCCAAGGTAGGGGACATTGTCCTCCGCAGTGTCCCCAGCCAAGCCAGGAGCTGCAGGCCGAGGCACCTCTCAAGCCTCCCCTGGCCTCACTGGCCTGGCCCCTTCCTTTCCTTTCTGCCTCTGTGTCATGGAGCTGAGGGCAGGGTCCTGCCTGGAGACAGGAGGCCTGGCCTCAGATGAAGCAGGGGCAGCATTCCCAGAGCCTTTGGCAACTGCCTGCAGCCTCAGCTGGGGGTTGAAGAGGCCTTTGAGTTTGGGGGCTGGCTGGTGCTCAGGGCCGCAGGCAGGCCCCCACCCTCCCACTCAGGCCTTCAAAAGGGCAGCCTGTGCCCTTGGCTGCAGCCTGGGGAAAGGATGGGCAGGAGATGGTCAGCAAGGCTGGCGCTTATCTGATCATAGAGGGCAGTAACAGTTGGGGAAACTGAGGCTGGCTGTGTCTAGCCATGCCAGTAGTATATGGGGAACTGAGGCTGGCTGTGTCTACTCATGGCAATAGCATATGGGGAAACTGAGGCTGGCTGTGTGTACTCAGCAATAACAGATGGGGAAACCGAGGCTGGCTGTGTCTGCTCAGCCCTCGTCCAGGATGGATTTTTTCCCCAGTGTGTCTGGCTCACTTGTGACTGCTCTCTGGCTCTGTCCTGGCTAGAGAATCTAGGGCATGGCTTTGAGTGTGGGGGCCTCTTCCTCACGGGCTGCGTCCTGTGCCTCAGCACACTGACAGTCTGGCCCTAGCTACCGCCAAGGAGGGAGCACAGAGCTCCTACAGAGCCCCCACTGTGGTCCTGGTAAGAGAGGTGGGACCTGGAACAGGCGGGGCTGTGCAACCTGAGAGAAGGAACCTACAGGCTCAGGGCAGGGGCTGGGATTAGAAACAGTGGCCCCCGGAGGACCAGGGCTGGCTACAGGTGGCTGGAAAAGGTGGTGCCACCAGCAGAGCTGCGCTCTGAGATTCAGGAAAGGGCTTTGTGTCTGAGGGGCCTCTGGAGCCTGGGCCGGAGCTCCCAAACACTACCTCCCTCCAAGCACCAACCTGTGAGGCCAACGGGAGAGAGGTCAGCTTGAGCTGGAGGGAGGCTCCAGGTTTACCTTCAACAGGGACCCCCAGGCCACC